ATTTCGGAACTTCCGCCGGCGATTGCGGCTGATTCCGGCGGGGTTGGAGGTCGTGCCGCATGTCGTTGAACTCAGCTCGTCGAGATCTTTCTATTGACACCGGTGGTGTCAAAAATGGAGGTCGGAATCTTAACTTGAGTATTTGGCCATTGATGGTTTGTGTGAGAGAGAACGTGAGAGGAGAGAGAGAATGAGCGAGAATAAGAGAAAGAAAGTGTAAGAACCCTAAAAATTTCACTATATAAAGTATCTGATTAAGGCAAGATTACGTGCCTGATCTTATCTTCAATTATTTCCTCTAAACAGATTAAATTTATACTGATTAGAGGTAATTAGTTTAGCTCACGTAAGTTAATCTACTACTTACAGTCCAATATCAATTTCTGAATAATTCAATATTGTTTTATATTCTTACTCACGTAATATTTCAAACTGTTTCAAGTCTTGAAATTAATTTTAGACTGAACAAATTCTAAATTTTAATTTTCTGTATTCTATCCTGAGAATGACGTTTCTGACAGTGTCAACTCCCGAGCTCATATTGTATCCATCTACTATAGGTATTTATCTTGTGACTTTAACCTAACTGTTTGGCAATTAAGGATTTTTTTCTTCTTTTAAAATGTCAGTGCGTTTTTTTTTTATATGTCGCTAACATCGTGCTGTGCTTAGAGATTCTTGAAATTAAGATTCTCAAACTATACTTGTACTGAAAATTATTCTGCCTTAAAATACGGCGAGAATTTATCGATCGAATTTACTTGATCGAAACATGAACTTAACATGAAATTTGCTATAGAATTTAGGAATACATATATTAATTCCATAAATCCTCCATTCACAATATAACATAATATTTTCTAAGAAAATCCTTGGCTTAAAAATACATGAATTGTATTATTTAAGGTCTGAAATTTTCTCAGTCTTTACACAAGTTATGTTGGCTGCCAGTCTCCGATCGCTGGCGCCGACCATAATCTGTCACACTATGATCCATAGTCTGACACGTTATGCTAGTCGGCGAATCTCTGATCTCTGATATCGGCCATAGTCTTTCAGACTATAAACCATAATCTGTCAGACTATAATCTCCAAAAGTTTTAATCTTCAGACAAACAAACTACCAAAAAAAAGAACAAAAAACTGACAAACAAATATAAAATGCTAAAAGAAAAAAAGTTTCTGAATGCAGAAAGAATGTTCGGAGAGAGGGAAGAGGGGGAGAGAGAGAGTGGGGAGGCGATGAGAGAAAATATTAGAGAGAGAAAGCTTTAGGGTTTGAATTTGGAAAAATATGTGATCAAAATATCTTGGGTATTTTAGCCTTTTGACTCTTTTAGTATGTGGTCAAGATGTTTGACCAAAGTTAAAAGGGTAATGTTTTTTGAATGGGTATTTTTAGTAAGTTTAGTGATTTAAAGAGGTAAGATATGTAATTGGGTAATCTTGATAAATACTCTTTAAAAGTGTATGAATCAGAACTTTTACTTTTTACTCTTGATTCATAATCTTTTTAGTCAAATAATTACACTAATAAAATAATATTTATTAAAAATAAAAGATAAAAATGAGTCTATGCACTCTCAAATAAATTCTCCATTTTTTCTATGTAAGAATTCTCTCTTTCTTTAAAATAGAACATTTTGGAGGGCCCATGTACTCAAACACTGACCCTGGCCTGAAACGAATCCTAGAAGAGGCCCACATTGGCCCAAGACCCATTGACGGCCAGTAAACTCATTGGCAATCCGACCCACAAACGGACCAAAACGGGTCAAATCGTTATCCAGTCCTAACTCCACTAATCTACACATACATATACCCTAACTACCAGCACGTGCGAGCACGGCACATTCTTTGATAGGCTCACGTGCGGACACAACCGCCCACGGAACACCCAAATCGCAATACAGAAAAAAAAAAAAAAAAAAAAAAAAAATTAAAAAGAGCCCCAAAAAAAAAAAAAAAAAATGAAAAGTGATGTTGCAAGAAATTCTTTGACCCCGTGCGGAAACAACCCCCCCCGGAACCCCCAAATCGCAAAAAAAAAAAAAAAAAAAAAAAAAAAAAAAAAAATTATACAGAGCCCCAAAAAAAAAAAAAAAAAATTGAGCCTTTTAGAAACCCTAGCTCCATTTCCCCTCAAAATTTTTTCCAAAATCTCTCTGCATTTTATCCCGTCTCAGAGGTACGCCTAACTTCCATTTCTCCATTTCTCTTCTCCTTCTTCTTCTTCTTCTTTTCTCTCCTCGCGTTTCTGTATGAATATATGCACGTGCGCAATTCGCTATTCTTGGTTCGGTGTTGATGAATTCGTTTGATTGTTGCTGAGGATTTCGGTCTCCGTGAAGTGGATTTGGATTAAATTTCGAAGCTTTTCGTTGATTGGGAATCGGTCGTTTCGTTTTTGCTTCGCTCACAGTTGTCTGTGTTGTTACTTATCTGTTTTCTTTGCTTTTCTTGGATGGCGAAGAATTTTTTTTTTTTTTTTAGGGATTTGAATTTTGGGATGTGTTTGGAATTCTGTTGGCAGAGGAATGAGAGAACAAAGAGTCCCTGTTTTTCATATTTGTTTAAATTTGTAAGGAAGTGCAGCAAGAAGTTCGTGAAATTAATGAAATTTAAATTCTGTGAATTTTAGGATTTTATTTGAAATGGGGTTGATTCGGTTTCTAGTGGGTTCCGTACATTTTGTGTGTATGTGTGTGTGTGTGTGTAAATAAGGATACTACAGTAATGAGTTAAATTTTTGGTCTTTTGATTCCCAAGTTTTTGCTATGTTTCGAGAATCTTGGAAGTTTATTTTTCTCCAAAAATGCAGAGAGAAGATTTATTAAAAGGGTTAAAATCAATAGTGGTTGACATATGAGTACTAATAGAATATAGCAAGAAGCTCATTTGCTAGCTGAAGAATAATTAAATTTTGTCGTTCCTTTTTTTTTTTTTTGAAACTTAAAAAGATGTTTGTGGTTATCAAAACTGAAAATTTGTTTCTGATTTTTTAGATGGGAATATTTCAAATCTAATTATTATGTTTTCTTTTCCACTTTCCCCCTGAAAATTTCCAACTTCATTTAATATCTGTACTATTTTACGTTTTGACAAGTTAATGAATTCGATGTACGTGCTTTCCTTGAGTTTGTTCTTCTCATTCTTCTTGTTACTTCTGCTGCTGCTCTTGTTAACTTATCATTATGACTGTTACCAATTTAAACTGACGATTGAAATTTTCGTGAAATTTCAGGGCAAATCGTGTTTTGTTATTCTTTCTTGGTTTGTGTTCTTCTGAATAAGGCAATAACCTGAGAAAGCTCTTCTGATAAGAATGCGACTTGGCATTGTGTCATTTTGGGAAGAGTTTTTAAACTTTTCTTATCTACCAGACAAATATACGCATATGGAGGAGGAAAAGCTTTCTCTTGCTTTGTAACTTTGTTGTTTTTTTGAAAGTGGAAGTGTATAGCTATTCTTTGTTTTTGACGCTCCTAATAAGTTGTTGTAGTGTATACGTCAAATGTCAGAAGGTGTTATGGCGGTAGTAAAACCTGAGGTATGTTAATTTGTGTTATTTTTGCAATTTTTTTGTTCTTTTGTTATTGATGTCCCTTTGAATTGATTTTTTTTTTTTTTTTGGATTTTGTTTATAAATGCATCAATTGGTGATATCATCGAAGTATGTGTTAGAACTTAGAAATATTCAAGTGTATGCTTTATTTTTCTGAATTAATTTATAAGCATATTTATAGCGTGGAAGAGATTTGATGCCACAATGACATAGGTTAGCAATAATTTGTTATACTATGGCTTGAGTAGCCTTTTAATGCTTGGAAAGAGGGGCTGCCTGAGCTTTACAGATTGACTAGGATAAACACGAATTTAACCAACTAGATTAATGTAGGTGCTAGGAATAGCCTCCAGTTGTTGGAACTTGGAAGAATTGCATTGTCGTGAAGAACTTGTGGTGGTTATAACTTTATAGGACGAATTCTTGTTGCTGGACTGTCCTTGCTATTTTATCATGCTAAAATTTTGCTTATGTTTTGTGCATTAGATGAAGTCTTACATCTGGCTTCAGACAGCCGATGGTTCAATTCAACAAGTAGAAGAGGAGGTTGCTATGTTTTGCCCCATGATATGTAGAGAAATAATTCAAACAGGCATGGGATCTTCCAAAAACTATGCAATATCCCTTCCCCAACGGGTTAACCCTGCTATATTGGGCTTAATACTTGATTATTGCCGGTTTCACCAAGTACCAGGCCGCTCTAATAAGGTAGGTTTCTGAGTCTTTGGCTTTTATTTTCTGTTTATATTATGTATGGCCTACATTTTTGCGTACTGGTTTCATATTTGTTTGATCTCTATTTGCAACATGCACATTTCTTGCAATTTAGAGAAAATTGCTTATTGGCCTCCCTTTCTTTAGGTGAAAGAGGAGGTTGTAATGAGATTATTTTTCCCTCGCTTTTTTATTGATATCATTATTCTTGTTTGGTATTGTGGTAGGGTGAAAACATAGCTCAAAAGGTTTAGATAAATGTGTAGTTTGTTCTTGTTTGCAGGAACGCAAAACTTATGATGAGAAATTTATTCGGATGGATACAAAAAAGTTATGTGAATTGACGTCAGCTGCCGATAGCCTCCAATTGAAGCCTTTGGTCGATCTCACAAGCAGAGCACTTGCACGAATAATTGAAGGGAAAACGCCCGAGGAGATACGTGAGACCTTTCATTTACCAGATGATCTAACAGAGGTTTGTTTCTAGCTAGAAATCAGTGATCTTTCACTTTTGTCTTGGCGTACATGTTTTTCATGTAGATTTAGTTTTACTCAGGAGGAGAAGTTGGAGCCTCTGAGAAACATAACCGATGATCCACGTATTCGCCTTTTGAATCGATTATATGCAAGAAAGAGGAAAGAGTTAAGAGAGAGAGAGAAATTGAAGGTGCTTACTCTTACTTGAAGAGTTTGAAGCCTTTACCATATGTTGAATGCTCTTTTTTGCGGTAAATCTATTTTTAAAAGGCATGTTAATGTTGAATGCAGTAGCCACAGTATAATCATGTAACTAAAGTACTCCAGCTTGTATAAATGCCGGCCCTAATAAGAGATGGTTTTATATGATGTAGAATGTTGAGGTTGAGGAAGAGCGAGTGGATGAGCGCTCAGTTGAAGACCTCTTGACATTTATAAATGGTGGAGATGGAGGTACAAGTTTCCCGCCCCCACAAACTCTCCTTTCTAATACATTTCTCGTCTTCTTCTTTCGCACTTGCTGCAACTTTCTGCATTGCTGTATGGATTTTGAATTACTTTGCACTTGATAAGTTGAATTCTTCACCAGTTGATTCTGTTGTTAGCGGGTTTGTACAAACTCTTTATGTAAAACAGAAAAGAAGGCTTCATGATTTCTGCATTGCCCTATGAACTGCAGTTGATAGATTGAATTCTTCACCAGTTGATTTTGCTAGTTAGGTGGGTTTGTCCAAAAATAGGGGTATATGTAATGCAATAGGATCCACTATTACGCTGTTTAATGAAAGAAATGGTAGCAACTATTCGTTAGGATGCTACAGAACGTATATTTAGCACCATAAACTTGTTGGAATACAGTTCTTTGTATTCTGTTTTTTTTTTATTATTATTTTATAGATCTCCTTGTTCCAATGTTCTCATTCTCGTTCTTGTGGAGTCTCCAATTCAAATTTTGTTAAAGATCTCCACTCAAATACTCTCCAGTTAAATAAGTAGCTAAGGCTCAATTACAGCATCATGTGTGTTACGCTCTCTAAAATGCATTCGCTTCCTTTTTCTTCCCCCATCTAGAAGTAACCTAGTGCTTTGGGGTTCTGAATTTCACTGATACTTAATTTTTGTTGACACTGAGTGAAGCATTCAAATTAGTGGTCTTACGTTGTTTGGAACTCGATGAGAATAGTACTTAAGGTTTATCTTGCTGTGAACTCCAACCTTATATAACCTGTTCTTTTTTTCAGAATCAAAGGGATCTAGGACCAATAAGAACAAGAAGAAAAATCGGAGGAGAAGAGATCAACCGAAGAATTCTTCAAGTGAGGCTAATGGAAACCATAATAAGGTTCGACCCAGTGTCCTTCCCCCTGCCCCCCTCTTGCCCTTTTTCACGGGGGTAGGAAGTGGAGCCAGGAGGGAGTAGGACCACTGTTTTTTTTATTTATTTTTTTCTACATTTTGTCCTTAATTTTGTATTAGAATTGGATAGTTCTCATTAATGGTGTCTTTTTTTTTTTTTTTTTTTTTTTTTTGGGGGGACGTAGGAATTGGATGCTCTTTCTCCTGCTTTCCATGATAGTGGGGCCTCTCCCAGTAAATCAACGAAGTTGCAAGATTCTACATCTGTTTCCTTTTCACCAAAGCTTGACTTTGACGATGCAGATATTGATGATGATTTAGATCCGGCCATGAAGGAGGAACTTGACAGGTAGGAGGAAGGTTCTTAATTGAATTTACAAACCTAAATCGATGGTTTTTGACATTTTTTTGGTTGATTTTATTATCTATATAACCAGGGGATATTTTCTCTTGCTCTCTGTTCTTGTACCTGTGGCCTGGTGGTTATGGCTAATGTTGAGCCTGTTACTTCTATTTATTGTTCGCATAACGTGTTTTATCTTCTCTATGCAGGGAAGTTGAGGACTTTGCACGTAGATTAAATTCACATTGGCCAGACAGAATGCAGGAGATATTATCCCTTGGCCAAGAAAGAAGGCTTCTACCAATGTCTATAAATGGCGATGGTTCCAGGAGATACAGTAGTATGTTTTTTCTGTTTCTTTGTCATTCATTATTGGTTGTTTCGGCACAAGTGTTCTATTTTTTGTTAGAGATAGAACGTGTTTTTTGTTTTGAGGTTTAGGGATTCCGTATGCCGTACATTGTATATATTTACTTTTCCTGTGTTCTCTTTGCTTCTTTCTTAAGCTTTACACGTTGTTCATTGTTCATTGCTGCACTAATGAAAATTTTTTGGCTTAATGTCAGTTCAACTAAACTGATGGAAAATTTTGCATGCGAACAGGTTTGGAGCAGAGATAGTGGCACTTTGTTAGAATATTCATTTGCGGAATGCTCAGCAGCAGCTTTGAGCGGATTGGAAGATGCTAGCATGCAGTTCGCTGCTACAGAAGCTGTGGAAAAGTTGGCAATATTTTCGCTTCAGCAGCGAGTGAGTATATTTGTTTGTTTTAACATCATCCAGATGCAATGTTTCATCTTGTGGGAATCCATGTATTCGGGAATGAAAAAGATGTTGGAGAAGAGAAGGAAAACTGAAAATTCAAGGATGACAACATGGGCAAATATGCTCATTTTGTTCCGAGATTGTTGTTTGTTGTTGCTGTTGCTTGTTACTTTTCAGCCATGAATGTTGGCTAGCCCCTGTACTGTACTTGTTGTACCGTTGTTGTTTTTGCAGATTTTTTTGTTTCTTTTCTTTATTTCAGTTCTTGTAGGCCGCATTTGGCTTTCCTAAGTTTTCTGAGAAGTTGTAAGTACTTGCAGTTGAAGAAATGAATTGGAAAAATGTTTATCTGAGAAAGATCCTGAAGAAATTGTAATTTAAAATTTTAAAGTTTTGAAGATGAAACTTTAGAAATAAATATTCGTTAGATTGTGTTTTTTCTATTAGCAAGTATTTTGCAGGTTAGCAGCTCAAAATTAAAGAATAAAGGACGTGCGGCGGGACATATTTTTCGTGATGGACGGCGTCGTTTTCGGGTGAAAAGAAGTGATGGACGGCGTCGTTTTCGGGTGAAAAGAAGAGACGCCATGTCATTCCAAATAACAATACATTTTTCGTACATCCTGTTTAAAGGAAAACAATATAGTTGAACAAGTCGTATTCCTTACTAAACGACATCAGATTTCCAAACGTAAAGTTAAAACGACGGCAGACTTTTAAAGTATAAGACATGCCGTTTTCAAATGACATGTTGCAAGGGAACGTGTCAATTGTTTCCTTCCTAACTTTTATATGTCAGTGAATTGCATGAGATAAACGACAAACGACCGTCCTGTTTCCCAAGACAGTAAAATTTAAACAACGAACATGTCTAACGAATTTGAAGAACACGAGTTCATGGACAAATGATGTGTCGTTTACGACGGTTAAATTGGAAACGACAATCACAAAGTCATCGGCGTCAATTTTTATTTCATTTTTTTTATAAGATGAGGAACATGTCATATATGTTGCACAAATAACCAGCATATAATTTCAGTCGAACAGCATATAATAAATGCAAAGTAGATGTCGTTTTGAATTATCTATACCAAAGACTAACGAAAGGCTGCACAATCGTCTCAAAGAAGAAATTCATTTGTATATCTTCTAATACTTTTTAGGAGTCTTGCGAGTGGAGATATCTTTTTAGAGTTTTGACTAACGCCCTAAGGATCAACATATATATATATATATATATATATATATATATGATCGGACCGTAAAAAACTAATCGAACATACTAATCCAACGGTTAAAATTAATCGTTCCGTAAAGCAAAACAACATGAGATCATCCGTAAGGCTACACAATCTTCTCAAAGGAGAAATGCAATTCCAGTGTCGTTTACTGATCATCTAGACAAGGAACTGCTAGGCTAATGAATAGAGAAACAGATTAAGCTCAAACCGAAAGAAACATGAAGATTTACGAGGCGTTTTATATGGAGACGAACGTATCATACATTATACACTGCTTATAGAAAAGGAAAAAAAATAAATAAATAAAAAAGTTGCCTCCGACTTCGTCCTCAATCTTTAACCTTACTGTCGGAGTAATATCTTTTGAAAGCTTTAGGAAGATAAACAGGCAACAAGAACCCAAAGAGATTGAAGCACCAAAACGCCATATTAGCAATAGCAAGCCCTCTTCCAATAAACAGTCTCCTTGGGGACCCACCAAATTCTTCATTCCCTTTGGAGAACTCATTCCTCAGCCACTCAACAATGGTGGAAATCCTCATCGAGTTGTAACAAACCGGGATGAAAACTCTAATGGGTGTAGAAAACCGGTCCGAGAAAGCCACTTCTTCCATGAAAACTTGACTGGCGAGAAGGAAAAGATGGGGTATGGCCGCTTTTATTCCTTCTTTGTCTCCTTCAAAAATGCCCTCAAAGATATAAGCTATGGGAAGAAAAAGGCCAATGATTGCACCAACGAAAACGTAGAGAGGGAGAAGTCCTTTCTGTATGTCAAACACTGGGGGTTCTTTGGAAGTGAGCTTAGGAAAGGCCACTATTGAGAGAAAGTACATGTAGATTATGGAGAAGAGAACAAAGGCCATGTCTTCAGGGCAAACCAGGCCAGTGGCTGAGAGTGTAACAATCACTGCCAGGCAATTTTGTTGGCGGAATGAGAGGAAACTTGATCTTTTCTTAGGAGTTCGGTGGGTTTTGTTTTTTGAGGAAGTAGTTGCAGAATTGTCGTCGTTTTGTTTGGATTCATGCTGTTGTTCTTCTTGTGGTAGGCTTATGTCGTTGTAAGTTGGACCAACCCCACCTGACATGTTGTGTTTTTCGTCGTTTTTGTGTTTAGTTTTCTGGGTGGAAAATATAGGTTGTGGGCAGAGAACAATGGAGATTCTTGAGTTGGGTTTTGCTTCTTTTTTTAGGAGTGCATAGTGGGGAACAGATAGATAAGGGAGATGTTTTGAGGTTGATTAAGAGGACAAGTGGCAGCCGCCAAGTTTAGAGTTTGGAAACGTAGCTTGGTAAAAGTGTGAGGAAGAGTCGGTGTTCACACAAAACCTTATCCTTTTGGGTACAAGACTATAAGTCAAAAGCATCCTTGCTTTTTCTCAAGCATGGGAATCGGAAAGAGACGATATTACGAGTAACTTTGCTGCTATAGGATTCCGTGCAACGGAAAACAATAGTGTAAACATATGTACGTAAATAGACATAAGCATATACAAATATATATATATATATATATATGTATATGAGAGAGAAGATGAAATGATCCAGAAAATTTTAGACTTTAAATGATATAATTTATGTATTTAAGTTAAGAATTTTTTTAGAAAATATTATGCTATATTTTGTGACTGAATGATTTATAGAATTAACATCTGTATTCCTAAATTCTGTAGTAGATTTCATGCCAAGTTCATGTTTTATGATCAAATAAATTCGATCGATAAATTCTCACCGTACTTTAAGACATAAGAATTTTCAGTACATATGTAGTTTGAGAATCTTAATTTCAAGAATCTCAAAGCACAGCATGATGTTAGTAGCGTATAAAAAAAACGCTCTGACATTTTAAAAGAAGAGAAAATCTTTAATTGCCAGACAGCTAGGTTAAAGTCACAAGATAAATACGTATAGTAGAAGGGTACAATGTGAACTCGGCAGTTGACACCGTCAGAAACAATGTCATTCCCGGAATATAATGCAGAAAAGTGAAATTTAGAATTTGTTCAGTCTAGAATTAATTTCAAGACTTGAAACAATTCAAAATATTACGCGAGTAAGAATTTAATGTGATATCAAAGTAGTCGAGGATTTAACATTGAAATGTAAACAAGCAGTAGAAAAGGAACCGTCAGAAACTAGAATTTCCTATCGACTAAGTACTTCCTTACAGTCAGTATAATTTTATCTGACTCAAGGAAAACTTAAGAGATGAGACAAAAGTATAAGGGATATGTTAGGATTTAGTAGGATGCCATATGTGATTTGATGGAGGTAAGTGAAGATAAATCATGACATATGTGATTTGATGGGAGTTATTGAAGAGGAAATCATGACATATGTGATTTGATGAGGGTGAGTGAAGATAAATCATGACATATGTGATTTGATGGGAGTTAGTGAAGAGAAAATCATGACATGTGTGATTTGATGGGGGTAAGTGAAGAGTAATCATGATAAAAAATTTTCTCCCCTTCCCTTCACTTGGCCGGCCATGTTAATGGGTTTTAAGCCAAAAATTTTGATTAGTTGAGTGTGCTAGAAGACTTCATGATGAGATGAGTCAAGTCAACTATTTGACAAGAAAGCTTACCTCACTTCTCCCTTGAAGCATCCAAACCGGCCAAGCTTAAGGTATTCTAAGCAAAGTTTTGATTAATTAAGTTGGACCATTAGTGCAAGCATTAGGTTAGCCATTTTTGCACATTTCCTCTCTTTTTTCCACACACCAAAACCGGCCACACTCCACACATCTCATCTCAAAATTTTCTCTCACTCTCCTAACCTTAAGCCACTAGCAAACAATAGAAGAAGAAGAAGATGATCAAAGGGTTCTAGGAGGAGTCTAGTCAAGCATTTCTCCAAGGGTTTATAATTTAAACCCTCTATTTCTTATGTTTTAGTAAAGTTTGGGATGTA